GAATGCTCACTAAAGGCAACCACAGTTTTTGAAGCAAAGAAAGAAAGAAACAGTACAATTAGAAATATCCACTGTGGATTTACTATCAAGTAATGTCAAAGTGCTGTTTGACTTTGAAAAAGATCTGTGACTGTAGGTTATTAAAACCAAACTCTGATTCTTTCTTTGGGACTCACCTGCCCTGTGTGTCCCACTCTGACCAGGGCACAGATAGGGTTGAAGGCTCCAGTTCCACAGACCAGCAGATGGGTCTGGTTGTACTGTTGCAAGACTTTGATGTAGTTTGCACACTCCGGCTGTTGGAAGAGATACAGAGATGAAGCAGTAGTTGGGTAAGGTGGGGTAGGGAGGAGGGTGGTTGGGTGAAGGGTCCCGAGGGTGGATTGAGACCATTGATTAAAAAATACAAGGGTTTTACTGCATCATCAATAACATCAATACTTCAGGTTGAACAAAGGTTAATGAGCACAGTGAGAAATGAAAGTCAATCCATACAAGCTGACAGTATCTATCACTGTAATGGATCTATCTAGCTATAATAAATTTATCATACTATAATCCACGTTATCAACTGGGCATTTGTGTTTTGCCCTCTATAATCAACCTAAGCCATACTACCACGGCCCAGCTAGGAACATACTGTAAGTTTGCATGCAGTCATGTTGAAGGTGTCCCTTACCTTTTCCCTCCCCTTCATCAAACACTCCTCTATCTGAGATTCTGTACTGGCCCACGGTATCTGAAATAAAACACAGTTAGACTCATATTTACAATAGTGTTTTTTTTTACATGCATAGTTAAGAGTATAGTTTTTGACCAAATAACAATTATCTCCACTGCATTATTCTCCACTGTATAATAATCTTACAGGGTTATTATGCCACCTTTTCAGTTTCGCATCAAAAAACCAGATACTGTTTTATACTGAACACAGTGCTACTGTGTAAGGACACACATGCACACTAGGTTTGGCTAACCCTCTGGTTTTCAAACTATGCTACGTGTACGACTGGTGGCACGCAAGCTCCCTCTAGTGGTATGTGGAGGAATAAAAAAAAAAATGTGCAAACATTACAATACAATCAAAATACTACAAAAGTTCAACAACTAAGAAATAACTATGAGATCACTGAAATGTAATTTAAACTAAGTTTTGCCATTGTTTTAGTATCAGCCTGCTACATAGTGATGGACACGCACACACTGCACATACACATCCATGATTAGTTACGAGTTGCAATGGGATAGCAAGAGGTAAAATTAAAGGTGTGCATCAGGAGTACCCTTTTTCAAAGAATTTAGCACTGGTTCTCGAACCGATTCCGTTCCAAATTCAACAAGAGTCAACAATAAATAATCTTCTTATTAGGAATAATCCTGCCTCCTGTGCGCAGCTGAACTACTGTATTTTAAGCTTGGTCATACTGGTGGTACTTAGAGAGCTTAATATTTTCTGTGGTTGGTACGTGAAGTAAAAGGTATTGATCTGTAGGTGTGTGAGTTTAATATGTCTCATTTCTTAAAAGGCAGGGAGGGGATGAAAGCAAGCCTACCTCTCTCTGGTGTGTGTTAACCCGGTCCAAGCTAAGGGAGAACAGAGTATTCTTGGCCCCAACATAAAGCCTCTCGTGGCCCTCATCCAGAAGCATAGTCTGGGGCTGAAGAGACGCTCCATCTCCCTGGAACACCCAGGTCCTGTTCAGCTTCCAAAGCTCTGCAGTCAACAACACACACAGAAAAAAGGCAGAATAATTATAGCAACACAGTCTAGGTCTGCAATTTAGGGAGGGATATCTAGCTGGTTAGAGAGACAAAGTTTTCATTTCAAATGTGGATTCTGATCTTGCTTTAGCCTGTACAAACCAGCTAAATCAAATTTGACCAAACGCCTTCTTTAAAGGATTTGTTACTGCTCCAGTAACCTGTACCTGAGTCCTAACAGCTCCCATGGCCAAGGGCACATTGCAACATGTGTTTCTGATTCATAGCTTCCTCAAGAGACTGGAAGAGAGCAAGGAGGGTTATCTTTTCATCTCATCTCTCCCTCTCGTGTGGCACCCATGCTTCCTCTCTCTCAATTATAGCTAGGCCTCTATTTGTCATTGGCCATTGGTCATAGAACTACAATGCATCTGGTGTTTCTGATCAGCAAATGTTCACTTGGCCTTGAAAGAGTACAGCTGACCTCCAAGGTACTAGTATGTGCCAATAAATTGCTTTAAGGACTACTGCTGTAAACCCTTGGCAAAACTCAACTCAAAGGACATTCTAGAAACCATGAAGGCGCTTTGCAGAAGAAGAGATAAAAGAAGTGACATTTGAGTCCAGGGAAAGATTTTGTGATTAATGGGGGGGTGTTTGATGTAGACAGTATGGCCCATGGTCTCTTTTACTAGGAGGAAGCAGTTTTATCAGACAGGAAACGGAATCAGTCATTAGTTTGAGATCAGCAGCCACTCCCTGTCAGTCTTGCTTTAGGTGATTTAAAATCCTTCTCTAAAAGGGAAGCAGCGGACCATAGCAGATATGTCATTAAGTATAAACACACTGTCATCAGAATAACCGCAGAGCAAGACACACAGATACGTAGTTGGCATACACATGCAACACACCCAGTTGTATCTGCCTGGTTGATTGATTGAACAAGCTGCTCCTCTATACCTGCTGTCTGCGAGCTTCTGGAGAGGTTGAGGGTGAAGGATTTAAACTAAGTGAAGCCCCAGAGGTGTGCATGCCCTCTGGGTCACACTGTTCTGAAAAACCTTTCGTTAACAAGAAAAGAAAAGAAAGAAAAAAGAAAAGTAACAAAGGAGGAACGATGGAGGCTGAGGAAGGAAGGAAAGTTGAGAAAATAAAAGCGTGGGGGGGTCAGTGGCAGTGTGGGGGCGTTTGTTGGCTCAGTCACATGATCCTCAGACAACATTTACACAAACCAGCTGTTCATCAAACTCCCAGAGTACTGCAGTACTTATACAGTGTTATGTACTCAATGCAGTACTTATACACAGTGTTATGTACCGAGTGCAGTATTTATACTCAGCAGCCGTAGTGGGATCGAACCCTGACAAAAATCTTCAAAACGTTTGTAGTCTCTATTTCAAACTGGAAAACATAAAGTAGGAAAAACTGATGGTGTTTCGTTGACTTCTGCTAAACGCCAGCTAATGCTAACCAAAAATGTCCTACTGCTAAGGCTCCAGTGTGTCACATTACTGTAACCATTAGTGTGAAATCACATGAACTAAAGAATATTTTTATCTACAGAGGGAGCGGGTCCTTTTCTAGTGGCGGAGTCCGCCATGTTGAACCTCCATGTTTGGCTGCAGATGGAGACTTTACTGTAGTTTGTCGATTGTAGTTGGAAGAGAGTTCTAATTACACCACGAGGCCGCACTAAATTCTCCACACTAGACCTTTAAAAGAACAAGCTGACTTTTATTTTGAAGTAGTCACAGGAAATGCACTGTGTTTGTGAGCAACTTTCGACATTAAAAAGATCTCTCTCACTTAACATGAACATTGTTTAATTATCAAGGTTTTATCTTATTGTTTTATTTAACGGGCAGTAATGAGCTTCCATA